GAATGTCGTAGCCAACTGAGAACAAGCAAATTTGTAGGATCTGCATGGCGGAGCAGACGTGGCAAATGCGACAAGACGAAGAGCGACGTTGGCAGCACTCAGTCACGTGGTAGGTAACAAAAGAGGCGTTGATATACATTCCTGCTTCAGCGCGAAAATGAGAGATTTTTGAAGAACGTTTTATTGACGCGGTTCAAACGGATGAAAATATGTCAAAAGCTACGCAGCTGTTTTTTAAGAGAATGAGATTAATTTCCGAAAGAAATAAAGGGTTTTATGGTGAATGTGACTGATCAATATTGCATTTCTCCCGCTACCAGCAAAGGAGGGTTTTACTGTCATCCTGGTAATTTGTTACGAAACTGTCATTTATGTCGCGGGTCATGTAGAAGTAAGTCACGGAAGCGAGGCACAACGCCTCCTTCCTCGCGTTACAAGACAGTCAGAAACATTTCTACCCCTCTTAATATGTAAAGGAACATGAAGCATAATTTAAAATATTTATAGGGTGTAAAAGCTTGCAGTGTTGATAGCTATGTAATTTATAAAAAGTAATGAGCCTAGAATAAATAGAAATAGTATCTCAAACAGTTTAAACCAACATTATTTAACAAGTATTCAGACAACTTACAGCCTCCGCAAATTTGTCAGGCTGGAGAATACCCCTGCGTCAAGATCCAGAATGTTATTGGAACGAAGATCCCTGTAACAAAAGACAAACAAAGAAACAAAAGAAAAATTCAAGACGTTGCTCCAAAATTATTTTCCTCTGATTGTTTCTAGAAATGTTCTTAAAAATAGGTGTTTCAGGTGTATAACCCTTCTTCAGTGTAAGAAAACGTCATCGCATAAGTCGGTAGCTTAACTCGCATACCTCATTATCATAACGTTAACAGTTTTCGTTACAAAAAAGAGGGGCTCTGTACCCACAAAGAGTTTTTGTGGTAGTTTTGAAATTTTGTCCCTACAACATTATTCTATGTAGTCAGACAAAGCTATAAATTGACTCTTCAAACCATCTTTGGAAGGAGAAAATTAAAACAAAAATTGAAAGAGGGCTGGCTCGCAAGAGATTTTTTTTCAATTTCCCTCTCTTGTCTTCGTTTCCATGAAAACCCATCATTGTTATTTTGCGTATTTGACATAACTATGGCCTGAAATCAGGACAAAAGAATGCTAGAGAAGCTGTACGCTTACGTAGTACGAGTTATAATTAAACATAGAAAACTGTACAGTCAACTGCGTATTACTATACGTTTTCCTTTTAGTAATCTGTTTCACAAGAATTGGTGTAGGTAACTAGGCATTAATATTAAAAAGACATAGATTTGAGCCACGAAATGATTTACCGATGGTAACATTGTCTCTAGTTAACTGTTCTAAATGATATTTTACTATAATCGACCTTAATGGTTCTGTATTCGTTGCAGTTTATTCAACAAGCACTCTGGTAGTCCATATAAAAGACCATTGCAATAGTCAAGGCGAGTCGTTATGAATGCATAGACAAGTATCTCAGTTGACTGCCGTGAAAGATACTTTCTGATCCGACGAATATTATAAATATAGTAAAATGAATAGGCACAGAGTTTTTGTGATGTGCGATGCCATGGACAGCCTAACGCCTACTCTGGGACCTTAAGTCGCCTAAAATCGCCTAAAGTCGCCCAAAGTCGCCTTAAGTCGCCTACAATCGCCTTAAGTCGCCTTAGGTCGCCCTTAGTCGCCTTAAGTCACTTTAAATCATTCAAATCTTAAAGAGGTTCAAATTGTCTCGTAGTTATTACTTTTTTAGTTTTCTATTTCCAGAATGCATGATTTCTCATAAAGTGTGCAATAACACATGTTCAACAATATTAGCCACAGACCCACCCCACCCCCNCCCCCCCCCCCCCCCCCCCCCCCCACAAAAAAAACTCCCACGGTGACTTAAGACCCATTAATTTCTTCTTCAGCCCTCTTATTTATACATTTAATTACTTTAGGCAATTTAATACACGTAGTAATTAGTTGTAAGCAATACAAGAATAATCATTCCTGTATTGTTTATGCAAAAATGACAACATAAAGAAAAAAACTTTATCCAGTCACTTGTACAGGTATTTTTATTAATTTCATCCGGGAGGTTTGTCTCATATTTCTGAGTGAAAGTGTTGTTTAAAAGGCATTCAAAGGTTCAAGTTCTAGCTAAATTATATTAAACAGCGTGCAAAGAGAGTAGACAGAGTAGTGTCCAGGCAATAGCCCTGTGGTACTGGATTTTATGATTGGGCTAGTGAACTGCGTTTTTAACTTGCCTGGCTGGCAAGTGAAGTATTTTAGGGAATTAAGATCACAGAAGAACTGCAATCAGTCCCATTCATAAAAAAAATTGGGGCTAGTCAAAATGGCTTTCAGGCTAGTGTATGCTAGGCAAGCTGTAAAGCTGACTTTCTTTGCACCTTGAACAAAATATAATTTAAAAAGTAAGTTTCTTTTCTACTGCTTTGTGAGAGTCCAACATTGAAAGACATTTCATGTAACTAAGATCAATACAGGTAGGTTGCAGGGAGAAAAATAAAACAATTATTGCCGCCACAACATTAATCTAAATAGGTGGTTTTCAAGCAATCTCGGGAGACACAAATAACAATTGTGAAATGAACAAATGCTGGTGGACAAACAAAGCGAGCTAATGAACGACCTTTTGTTTACCGTCCACCAGCATGGCGGCGATGACGTAACGTGGAAACCACCTATTTTCTGGTAGTTAATACAAGCCTAAAGGTCTATCGAAAAAAGTGTCCATGTAAATTACCGACCCAGATTTTAGGCGCAACTAATGATAAGTTTTTTCTCCAGCACAAAACCTCTGATCTGTATTTGCCGTCGAATTATATCCATCTATCATTGACAGAAACACAATCACTCTTATAAACTTGACCACTTAGCTTAGCTTGTACAGTCGTCTCTTTAGGTCTTCCCTTCCAGACAGAAATTCAAGCTTTGTACATCCAAGGTTCGTAAAACTGCGCTTTGTTTATGTTGTCGTGATTGCTCCCTGTCAAACGATTTGATGTAATCGACCATTATTGATGAAGAACGTAGAAAAGCGAAATAATAGTGTTCTTTCCTCCGCGTTATGGCCGCCAAGAAAGTATTGTGTTTTGATTACGTGACCAACTGGTCTGGAGGCGGGAAGAGGGCGGGACCGAGAAACTATGGAAATTAGCTTGCGGCTGCAGTGGAATTCTGGGAGAAGCAAAATGTGGATAGAATGTGCTCTTGCTGTTGTCAATTGTACGTTGCGTTTTCGTTTGAAGATCTCCTTTTAAATGGAAATTTCTGAGATAATAATGGAAACGTTTACACTTGGTACTGCCATCGGTTTAAACATGACGCATGATGCTTCCTTTTGTGCTAAGAGCGTAAACGCTGCCGCGTGGAACAGAGCGAGGTTGGTTTAAGCTAAGCTTATTTGTTTCTGCTGGTACATAAATGCACTCATGAAATCAACCCGACCGGAAAATTTCCAAAGGGAAAGAGAGTACGGTTCACTGGCAAAGCAAGTATTTAGAAGTGTTTCGTTGGACTGAGACAGAAAAGGAGCAATATATATACGGCGAGAACTACCAACTTTATATTTTGAAATCAATTGGAAAAACAACCTCTTAGCCAAATGTGTGGGGACAAACATTGCCAGAGCAACTGCCAAGACATACAATGGGGATCGTCTTTTCCATAATGTGGGCTATCGATAAGTGATTTTAGCTGTTTTAAATTAATTACTTAAATGTTTGTTGTCAAATTATGAAAAAAAGACACTTCAATATAAAGTTTTTGCTACAAACCAGCTTACAGTATTTTACAGGGGATGTATTGAAATACTCTACTTTTAGGGGTTTTGTTTGGAAAAAGAAATGCAGGAACCATTGATTTTTTTGTCCCTTATATTGTAAGGTAATGCATTTAAAGACCAAGAGAAAATTAACCCTTTTGGTTGCTTCTAACTCAGATTTTGTCCCTGCTAATGTAATACTAAACCAACACTCTTGATATTAGCCTGTGCCACAGATGGAACTAACGTCTGGGTTAAGTCCATCTGCAAAACAGCGACAAAATTCTAGTTCTGGGCCTCCCGTGTGTGTATCAGGATTTGAGTACATGCCAGGACAGGACTGTTAAGAATGCCATTGTCCATCTGCCAATCATGTTGAACGGAAACTCAAAATGCTGGTACTTCATTTAGTACGTCAGGGCCCAGAACAAGAATATTAGAGCTGCTTCGTAAATGTTACTAACCAGGGTTAGAATACACCTGCAACACAAGCCACCTTGATATATAATGTTCAAAATACTAAGTAGCTGAGATTGTTGAAAATTTGGAACACTAATGTAGATGTCTTCAAGACTGAATTGACTTATAGTCCGGGGCCATGTGTAATCCCGTGGGCATTTCATGAACATTTTAGTTTCTTGAAAGAAATCCAAAGTTTAAGAGGTGTTAAATCGTAAGAAAGTTGTCTGCAATTTTTTCGAAGTCATGAAAGGTTAATTTATGCAAATTACATTCATGAACCCTAAAACACAGGGTACTCAAGTCTGGCTTTGTTATACATAGCCGAAATCACTCACATAATCCAAAAGAAACTGTGCACGAGCGCGCTTTCAAGTCTGATGTACAACTGGCAGACGAAGCGCTTTAGCTTTATGTACATATCATCTGGGATGGTGTCGCTGTTTCCTAGGCTAGAGAAGGTATCGAGCATCGGTCGTTTGACTTTCTTTAGATTATTCGAAAAGCACACTTTGCTTTTTCCACTGATGGTGCCTGTCTGATCACATCCTGAAAAAGCGTGAAAGCCAGGTAAAGCCTTCACGAGGTCTTCTCCGACCACCTCGTAGAGTTGTCCTAGTGGAGTACTTCTTCCTTTTCCTTCTGTCTCTGCAGTCAATGTAGTATCCAGACAAAGTCTCTTGTAAGTCCAGAGCATCAGAAAGAGTACATCTGTATCTTGGCTTTAAATGAATGTGGACGTTTCTCCTCTCTTTGTGGCGTCTAGACCATGCAGTACAGTATTAGATGTCATGCAGTCACCTTTAGAATTTACTACATACGTCATCTGCGAGTCTTTCTTGCACTCGATGAGTTGTGTTGCAAGGATTATAGCCACTGCCTCCTTATTCTTGTTGCAGTTCAAAAGATCTTTCATAGTTGTCTTGTCAATAACATCATCGACAGTAATCATTGTATATCCCTGCTCTGTTTGTAACCAGTCGTTAAACTGGCGCGTTACTTCCTTTAAGGAGTAGGGGATCTAGTAGCGGTCAAATACAACATGAACCTCGGTGGAAACATTAGTCTTAGCATCAACGACTTCTATGAAATGGCTTGCTAGGTCACGCTTGTTTCTTACCCACGATGGCGTTCCCAGTGACTGAACTTCTGCAATGGCATAAATAATTACTAAACGCGTACTGAAAGGGTCTGGAGAGCGAGGTTGTACTGTAGGCGTTTGTGGCTACTGATGGGGTAGAAGGCTTTCTAGGATGTTAATCAGCTTGCTCTTGGCAATGCAGTGTAGCAAACTGCCATCAGAGGGGAAGGGTGTACTCGGAAACTCAGCTAACTTAAAAGTGCTTATGGTATCCTCCATGTGAACATCAGGCCTTGAGAGAATCACAACTAAGAAACGTGTGAAGAGAGCTCTCTCATCCTTTAAGGGTGCGATTCCACTAGTTGTTTTGTTTTTCTTTCTTTGCCAAACAAACTTCCATGACTTGAGATGTGCCTTTTGCTTGGGGCCTCGACGATTTTTGCTTGAACAAACTAATGTGCCAAAATACGCCTGACCGATGTCATTTTGCATTAGCACTCCCTTCTTGATCTAGCATAACTGCTTTTGTGATGATGTTCACCAGATGACTTTCTGTCGTGAAAGGGTCACTCGCTTAAAGCACATCTTTAAGCTCTGTATATTCTCTTTATAGCGCTTTGTTAGCACATCGCTTAAATCATGATGGTGTGATGATGGAGCTCTTTGTAATCCCTCCATTTCCTCAGCTTGCGCCGCAAGTCGACTCAGTTCTGGGGCCTCAAGGAACCATCTTGCCATGGCTGCTGGTTGCTGTGTCCTCCCCGAACCTTCATCAACTTGTTGACGTGTTCTATAGCATGGTCCGGACCCATTTCACAGAATGGGCACTCCTTCTTGCTTATACAAAAGTTTCTTTGCATGAATTCAAGGCAAATATCGGGATCATCGATCTTAAACCTGTGCATCTGCGCTAGATGTATATAGTGGCACCATTCGTGCAAAACTCAGCCTGTCTTGAGCAAAGAAATATCGTGCCAACGCCTTGAGGGACTCAAGGTGAAAATTCCAGTCTCCCTCTCTTGATGCGCGTATGAACAGCAGGATACACATCACAAACGTCACGTAGTCCTGTGCAAACTTGAGTTAGTAGTAACACGGAGACTCCATGACCTTTTCAAATCGCAAAAGCCTCTCTTGAAGCCCGTCGGTTTCCATTGCAATTGAAAAGTCTTTGAGTTGTGTTTCGTCCCTCGCTCACTTTATCGACCTTGCTGGCAGATGATGTTCATGGCAAAGGATGCTAGTATTACATTTGTGTAATCGGCTTCGCTCCCCAAAAACGCCTCCATATGCAAATCACTTAGAGCAGAGTCTGTTATGCTGTGAGGTCTGAGTACGCTTCATACGTTCCCCTTCAAGAATCTATCGCCGCTATCCATTCTTCGTAAAAGCAACTGCCCTCGATTGATGCCCCAAGAGTGCGTTAAGAGGTCATTGTGCATGATCATGTGCATCTCGCCGATTCAGAAAACCAGGTCGTGTAAGTGTGGGACCTTCCTAAACATAGTATACACTCATTTAATTTTATTAATGAATGCATTGTTTTAATGCGGCAAATTGATAATAATAAATAAATAAAACTCCATAATCTTGGGTTTTTTTCCAGATAAATTGCATACACAGTAGTAGTCGTCAAATAAGAGAGGAAGAATAGCCTGAAACAAAGAAGGTGTTGAGTTTTAAACCACGGAGAGACCATCAAAACGCATGCCTTTTCTAGCTGGACTCAGACAGGATTATACCATATATTTTCTGGTGTTTAAAAATCGGCAGAGAACAGAAAGAGAACTTTAAAAAGCTGGACAATTGGACTCGTAAATTCACAGGGGATTCATTAAAAGATGTAGTAAATATCTGGAGAAAAGAAAAGACGTTTCTGAAATGACAACCCGTGTATCTTGCTTTAAAGATGTGGTTCATTCGTTCATTCCTTGAAACAGTCAAAATGTGATGTAAACTGCAGTTGTAAGTGCATTATTATATTTGATTTACAAAGTCGCGAATCAAACTGAAGGCATTTTGTTGTCATTCATCAGCTATATAATGACGTCATATCTAATTTGCATAAAACAGGCCTAAATGGCTCTGGAAAAATTGCAGACAATTTTTTTTCGATTCAGCACCATTTAAACTGTAAGTTTCTGCAAAGAAACTTCAATGTTCATAAAATGCCCACGAGAACGATTCTTCGGACACATGGCCCTGGACTATTATGCTACAACATTGTGTCCCTAGAGAGGTAGTGTTATCAGTAGATTGTGATTTTGTATGTGTTGTAGTACGTTAATTTTTATTTCAGTTAATTTTTATTTTTCCATCGTTTCTGGGTATCATTATTTATGCTAATGAATTTAAAACAAAGGAAAACCAAAAATTAATGGAAATAAAAAATTCACTGCAACATATTCACTGACATGTAACTCACCTAAATGTCACCTTTTTCTCCTTAAGTCGCCTAAAGTCGCCTTAAATCCCCTTAAGTCGCACAACATTTTGACCAAATTTTCCTTAAGTCGCCTAAAATTACGGCGACTTAAGGTCCCAGAGTAGGCCTAGCCTAGAATCAAACCAGCAACCAAGATTTCTTGCGAGTGGCACGGGATGAATATCTGAGTCACCCACACGCATACTGATATTATCTAGATTTTCCAGCTGTTGTGATGAACCAATGATGAGGAATTCAGTCTTGTCATCATTAAATTTAAGATCATTATTCAACATCCAAAAACGAATGTCTCTGATGCAGTCTTCCATATTCCTCACCACAGCAAGTTGTTCAGCTCTGTCGTTCGGACTAAATGAGATGTAAACTTGTGAATCATCAGCGTAACAATGAATCATGGGCAGGTGATATTGAATTATCTCAAAAAGCTCACTCGTGCACAGCGTGAACAATAACGGACCAAGACAGGAATCTTGAGTTACGCTGCATTCTAATTTAAAAAGTTTAGATAGTAACTATTTGATCATTATCCGCTGGGTTCTTCCAGACAAATAGGATGCAAACCAGGAGAAGGCTTTTCCCTGCATACCAAATGAGTATTCAAGTCGACGTAGTATGGTGTCGTGATTGACTGTATCAAAGGCAGCACTCAAGTCGAGCAGAATTAGCAAAGTAACACACCGATTGTTCATGTTCAAGAGAAAGTCATTCATAACCTTAAGCAGTGCAGTTTCTGTGCTGTGGTTTTGTCGATAACTTGATTAGAACACTGGGAACAGATTGTTACAATTTAAATAATGTTGTAGTTGCTTGGCAACCACAGTCTCAACAAGCTTTGAGATAAATGCCAAATTACTCACTGGCCTGAAGTTCTTAAAGACAGGGGGTAATCCATCCTTTTTCAGCAGCGGCCGCACCAGAGTACACTTCCAGGTGCGCGGAAAATAACCAGAATCAAGCGAAAGATTAATTATTTTGGTGATCGGAGGCAGTAGCACATCGACGCACTCAATAAATGCAAGAAACGACAAGCAGCTGGATCATTGTGACCATCAACATGGATTTTAAAATCGCCAGTTAGACAGAGGAGATCATTACATAGTATAACAGATTCCAGGTATTCTGAAAATTCATCAATAAAACTGTTGACAGTCACAGGATGATTAGTAGAATACGGCGGTCGATAGATAATTACAAGTTGAATGCGTAAGGAGCCAGTGCAGACGAGATACTCAGACAATTGAAAGGAATTCCTTGAGCCAGATTCAAGCTTGCAAACATTAATGTTATCCCTAAATAAA